ATCCTGCCACAGGCACCGAGTTTAACTGGTTTCTTTTGCTAATGGAAAACCTGTTCTACGACCGCGTTCCGACGCGGATTTTCGACCTCAAGGGCTCAATGAGGAATCGCAAGGTACAGAGCACCGGGGAACGCAACGAGGTCCTGCTTGATGAGAACATGGTGGATTTCATCTACGAGACACCGCTCTTCACCCGAGAGCACTCTAAAAAGCTTCTGAGCCAAAGTGTCTGGAACGACACTCTCTTCCTAGGCCGCCAAAATGTCATGGATTATTCACTCATGATTGCTATCGACGAGAGCCGGTCGGAGTTGGTAGTCGGTGTTATTGACTGCATCCGTACCTATACGTGGGACAAGAAATTAGAGTCATGGATCAAGGACCGTGGATTCGCTGGCGGTGGTAAGAATCGACCTACTGTGACCAGTCCCAAGGAATACAAGAGTCGATTCAGGGAGGCAATGGCCCGATACGTTCTTCAAGCCCCAAGGTTAGTCACTCCTCATAAGATGACATGAATCTAGCTCGCTGATAATACTTCCAGTTGTTGGAGTCAATTCCAACAGCCCCAGATGTATCGGTACACTCCGGTGGAGCAACCACCAGGCCTGGCATACCATGCGTTAGACGGGGACACTGCCGAAGGAAATGAGTCAGGTGGTTCCTAGAGGACTATCCAGCTTAGTCTCTATGATGATGATGAAAGTATATGATTTTTTACGGCGCGATCCATTCCTTCCTTTTTAAAGATAGCGACATAGCAAAGGCGTTCACGGCATCAGCATAGCGAACTGCGCATACTCCCCATTTCGGACGTTCCTTTTTTGAGCATTTCCCTATGATTATCAATCACGAGATGTATTAAACTAAGTAATGTATTGGGTGACTGGGGCTGTATTATGAGAAACGGCGATGTGCAACTTGTATTTCAGTGTCTTCATACCAATCCATGTATATATTACAACTCTACGTGAAATATGAAAACAGTCCCGATTAAACCTCAGGTATTTCCGAAATCTTGAACAACGAGATCAACGAGATTAAGAAAGAAAGGAAAGAAAGGGAAGAAAGGGAAGAAAGGGAAGAAAGGGAAGAAAGGCAACTCCGCCCAGGTCACAATGCCCAGACAATATTACGTACATGGCTATGAAACGGAAAATCCACAACGAGTGATGGATGCTTATACTCGTTCCGTTTCACCGACCAAAGTCCTCCCGAAAATCTCGGCGGAATTCGGGACACTTCGGGAATTTGATTTGCTCTCCACACCATTTCCATGCATATGCTTCGAGGGAGTATATCTTTTCCCTCTCTGTACTTTTTTCCTTTTCCCACTCTCCTTCTTATCTGATTCTGCGCTTTCTGTACTCCAGGACAGAAACAGTTTCGAGAGCGTTGCCATAATTTTCTTTTTCAAATGTTATGAGAAAGTGTCTTTAGGCAATGAGATATGCAAGTCTTCTATGAGGCATTTGCATTTACTGCAGCCTCGGTAGAGGGGATTCCCCGCATTCATTTTTGAGCCTTTTTTTTTATTTGTCTTTTTCGGTTCCTGTTAAGAGGGGAAGATCTCGCTCTTCTTTCTTCTCCTTTCCCCCTTACATGTGGGAATGGAGTTCTTCGAGCAGATAATTTGCTCCCACGGTCGCCTTGCTATAGGGTATACGGTTCTTGACCTACGGGACTAAGACTCCATGCCTGGAATGTGACTACTAACCTACAATGACTCGAGACTTTTCTCAGTCTTAACCTAACATGAATTCTGCGGTTTCTCGAACTCAATTGACGAATCTGATCATTATGAACGTGAACATGAAGATCATTAATCTAGCTTTTGATCGCAAGAAACCATCAAAAAGCAGGCAGGCTAACTAACGCCAACTCAGGATGAATACAGATTATGTTCTGAAGGGTGAGTCTCCTCGTGCGCTTCCGGACCGAATGGGACAGATAAGAGCCCACACTCCACTGCCATTCACCCGACACCACCGCCAAGCTACACCCTCCCGACTAATGAATCTCGCAAGGAAGGATTCGGGGATCAGGGGATCACTTGAAATGGGCGGAACTTTCCGGTCGTCATACTTAGCCGAGACCCGTATACGACATTTGAGGACACACCCTCGTCGCTATTTACCTACCCAATTGCTGTCGTTACCACGTCATGCAACAAGGGCGACACTGCTGTCTGGATTTACTCAATCAGACCAAGGTTCTCCTCAGCAGGGACCACACGGACGGTGTTGGTGTGGCCCTGGCCTCCGCGCCAACCCTGGACACAGACAATGTTGTCTCCCTTGTTGATGATACCGAGCTTGATACCGTGGGAGATAGCCCACTTGAGACGGCGGTCAACGTCCTCCTGCCAGATCTTGACGTTGAAGTCGGGCTTGTTCTCGGGGAAGAGGAAGGGCCAGACACCACGGTAGAGGTGAGAATACTACAGACAAATCAATCAGCGCAATTCATGACGATAGACGATATACAGAATTGGCAACTTACCCTCGAAGCTCTAGGGTTACGGGTGACCATCAAGATGGGGCACACAGGGCGGTACTTGGAAAGAAGGCGAGCAGTGTTACCACTTCACCGGCCAGTTAGCGAGCACGTCTAGTTCAACGAGACCATATGATACGTACCTGGTGGTCAAGACAACAATAGCACCAGCGTTAAGCTCAAGACTGGCGCTAACGGCAGCCATCGCGATGGACTCCACGGTATCAGTGGGGCGGGGAGCGAGGTTGCGCAACTCGTCAAAGACATTGAAGTGGGGAATGGCAACCTCTGCGAGCAAACAGGTCTCGCTCATCATCTTAACAGCCTCGCAAGGGTATGAGCCCTTGGCGGTCTCACCAGAAAGCATGACACAGTCGGCTCCGTCAAGAACAGCGTTGGCAACATCGGACACCTCGGCACGAGTGGGGCGAGGGTTATAGGTCATGGACTCGAGCATCTGAGTGGCACAGATGACGGGCTTGCCCTTGATGTTACACTTGGCGATCATCATCTTCTGGGCGATGAAGACCTTAGGGGCGGGGATCTCGATACCAAGATCACCACGAGCGACCATGACACCGTCAGTCTCCTCAAGGATCTCATCGAAGTTGTTGACACCCTGCTGGTTTTCAATCTTGGCAATGATCTGAATCTCCTTACCCTCTTCACCCAACACGTCACGGATGTGGCGGATGTCACTTCCCCGACGAATGAATGAGGCAAAGATCATGTCGACGCCGTTCTTGACACCGAACTTCAGATCACTGATATCCTTCTCAGAAAGGGCAGGAAGGTCAACATCGGTGCCGGGCAGGTTAACACCCTTGCGAGAGGAGATGTTGCCATTGTTAAGACATTTAACGCGCAGGGTCTTGTCGTCGACGACCTCCAGAACCTGGAAGGAGAGGATACCATCGTCGACATAGATGAGCTTTCCGGGAGCGATCACCTTGGTAATGTTCTTATAGTCCAGGTACCTAACAAATACATTGTTAGTCTGAACAAGCCCGGGCCTCCTACCAAGCCATTCACGGACGGATCCGGGGAGCTGATGAAGACTCACATGTTCTGATCATCGCTAGCAGTAGCGTATTTCTCATCGGTGGTGATGTTGAGCTCGTGGCCCTCCTTGATGGGAATATCCTTGTCATCGGTAGTGTTTCCGGTACGGATCTCAGGTCCTTTCTGCAGAGCCGGTTAGTATTGTTTAACCCTGGAAAAGTTCCGGTCTAGACTTACGGTATCAAGAGCAATGGCGAGGGGACGTCCGGTCTGGACTCTGGCGGCCTCACGGGCGTTATCGATAACGGACTGGTGGTACTACGGTGAAAGTTAGTAAACCAGACGTACGACGAAGACGAACCCAGGAACAGTGACAAACTCACCTCATAGGAACCGTGGGAGAAGTTCATGCGAACAACGTTGAGGCCGGCTATTGAATCACTGTCAGCTAAAGAAATTACGGAGGTCATTGGGCTTCGCCGTACATCTGCGGAGAGCATTGATCTTCTCCACCGAGTTGGTCTTAGGGCCTGCAATGGGAAAAAACGTTAACACCATCCATATGAATTACTAAAGCCTAGTTTAGGGTGAGGGGAGGGCAAGGAGACCCTGAGATTTTATGGTTAACACTTACCAATGGTGCCAATGATGGAGGTGCGGCGGAAGTTCTTCGCAGGTACCATCTCCGTGTTCAGCTTGGAGTGCCACTCCAGCTTCATACGGTTGCTCAAATGGTCGAGAGAGCTGCTAGCGGCCATTTTGAAAGCTTCCCTGTCTACACTGGAAAGATGAAGAAGAGAAGATGGATTGGGAGAGAGGGAGTTGTGATTTGGATGAATGGAAGAATTGGGGGGGAAGAAGAGGAGGGGGAGATGGGCGATAAAAAAAGATCGGAGAAGTTGGCCAGAGAAAGAGAGCCGGTGAGCGAGGGGCTGCTTTGGGTTTGGTTTGATTTGCGGGAGTGGGTGTGTGCCCGGGAGGGAAAATGTTGTTGGCCGCCTTCTCATTAGTTGAGAAAGGAAGACAGGTTGCCCAGTATCTCCGGTCGGTTCCCCGCGGCTGGTACAACTCTGGGAATTTTTTTTTCCTTTTCCTCTTTTCTTTTTTACAATGGATCGGCTGCCAGTAACTATTACCTTTACTAATTATTCATCCGATATCTATATCAATTTTGGTTACCCATGAAAAACAAACAAATGATCAACTGGACCTGTCGGAGGTCCAAAAGAGAAAGACACCAAGAACCTCCATCAACTACACTGCCATCTGGCACTGTTTTCCCACACCCCACTTACAGGGCAGACCAAATTCACCCATTGTTGCCTTATCCACCTATGTACGGCGTCCCACCCTCTATCTATATGATGTGTACTATCATGGTGGCTCAATGCCACATGATCAGTACACCATGTAATATCTCAAACGATCCTCGACGTCAGACCACTCTCCCTATAAAATAAGAAACAGTAACGTCGTGAGGTATATTTGACAAAGTAATTGGTTCAAACAAACAAACACCTACCTTGTGATTCTCGGATTGTCTGACTTGGGAAGAGGAATATCCTTTCAGGGACACCGAGTAGATACTGAGTACTGAGATACATGCTAACCGTACTAGTACTACTCCGTGCCAAGGCCCATGGCATGCAGCGAGGAGTTGTCAAGTTCGAGATAGTGGGACTACGGAGTACATAAGGCAGCCAAACGAGATAAGCATAAATGCCATAGCATAATTAAATATACTGGATCATGACTAATCCATTGTCCGCATAATACTGGGTCCTATCCTCTAGCTCCTTGTGTGCAAGCTCCAAATATAGCCAGCCACATCCCCAGCCACATCCCCAGCCCCCTGAGTCCCATCCCACCGCCTATCATTCACCACGTCATGTGAAAATGGCACGTGAGCCAGCTCACCTCCCCGAGGGCTGTTCTCGTGGGGAGTACCTCGTCTTTCTTCCTGCATATTATCAGTGGACCTTGCCTTTCCAGCTCCTAATTTTGGAGTCACACAAATCGTACATACCACGAGCTCGACCTGATCCTCTATACTCGGTGTGGACAAGTCCAGTTTCATCGTTAAGCCCTGATATGGTCACCATGGTATGTTTATTACTCCCCGATAGCTCTCTGTTTGTATTTGACTAGCTACCTGAGTATTGACTTTTTTTTTCTTGGAATTACCTGCTGATCGTTGACCATCTTAGTTCGGCCGACTCACCCATTACGCTTTTGACGCTGTCCTCTGTAGGTTCTCCTTTGTTCATTGTTATCTATGGTCAACAGATACTAACCATCACAGTCTCTGCCTTTCTGGCAGGTGTGAAGCGTTCGACTGGTCTTACGTAATTACACCCTTCCTACGCATGTTTTGTTTGTTCCTGTAGCCTGTCGATATGAAACAATGACCATGGTTTACGACTTTTCAAACGATTGCTGGAATCTCGGCTAACTCTGTCACCCCGCGCCCCCTCGGGGGAACTGCGTGGGGATCTTCACAGCCCCAGTCTCGACTCCGACAAAATCACCGACAACAAGGACTTCAAGAAATGGATCGATAGTTATCTCGGTGTTGGCGAGTGGGTGATGGATCAGTCCGTTGCCGTCCTGGGTTCCACCAGCTATTTCGAGCGCAGGCGGTGATTTATCTACTCCGGATTATCCGGATAAATCGGGGCGACGCTTCGGATTGATTCACTTGATACCGGAGGTACGCTCTGTGTTTTCCCTAAGTCAGCTTGGGACATCATGTCGAGAGAGTGCGTGTCTTGTAAAAAAAATATCAAGAGAGCCGTCGTGACTGAAATTTGGGCGTCCTGCATAGCGGCTTGAATTACGATTGATGATTACCTTGTCCTTTATATGGTCCGGTATGGGGGACCGTGGCGTTAGGAACTCTCACCTTGGCTGTATACCTTGGTTTCAGTTTGGCATTATATTCGCTTTACATGGGTCCCCATTCTGCTCTCCCGAGTATACTCGCTTGTACATAAGGTTACCGGCCCCGGTAGTTCAAGCTGCCCTGTTTCGTCGCGCTGTCCGGGGAATGATTATGCCTTTTTTTCCTCCAACGTTCCGGGTGTGTGTATACTTAGTCTACAGGCTCGAACAACTTTCATAGAGCTTGTGCGAGTCTAGCAGGCGATACTGAGTAACAATATACTGTCGCAGAGGGGTGGATTGGGGTCGCCAGTATAGGGATCCTTGGATTCCTGGGTCCAATCACGGTTCTTCAAATTTACCATCCCTGGTTGGTCTCCCGTGCACGGAATCCACTATGATTTGAGGCCGCCTTAATCAACTAGATGTTCACTCAAGTCATCAGGATTGGCCCAATACGTGTCCATCGGGGGGTGTTCGACGCGCCAACCATGGTTTTGTCATCTAGACAGTGTGTACACAACCGCCATACATATATTTGAATCATTATCTCTCAAGGAGGGGAGCAAGTAGTAGGCACGAATCGTTACGTCGTAAGAATAATCACACATCCGCTCATATCCGAATAAGTTCGTCTATGTCGAGGCGGCGGAAATACGAGATATGTCCCATAGTCTCCCAATAGTGAGCTATACAATCAGGCGATATGAGAATAAGTTGCGAGGCGATGAATGTATCTAAGTATTGGGTCAGAACACGCAACAACAGGAATGCGATTCGGTTCAGCTTACCGTCTCTAAACCCGAGACCCGCTACATGTCCTCGACTACGCACAATCCTCGCCCCTCGGAAAAGTGATTCATCCGCGACACGGACAAAACCCTTAGGTCCGATATCATCCGAAATGAATGAGAGCTCGCCTCGAGGGACATTGGGGTCTCCAGTTAGTTTGATAGCCTCGAGGCTACCATTCTGGATAATGCCATCATGAAGGAACTCAGACTCGCCCTCGTCAGGCGTACCGTTAAACCCATCTTCGCTATCACGTTGCAAGAAAAGCAGGAACTCACATCCGTGGGCGGAGTAGTCTCCAATCCATATACCCTGATAGGGCTTTTGCCTGGTAGGCGTATATAGATGCGGATCAAGTGTCGCGTAGGTCGATAAGGTCTCGCTTCGGCCGGCAGCAAACATCGGCATACCCAGACGAAAATGCGCCCATCTTCTAATCCGAAACGCATCTTCCGACATTATTTCCAAAAGTCCAGGGTTACGTTCCCATTCTGACCCATGCGTTTCGGGGCTCCGATATACGCGATTTCGACTGGGTACAATGGGTGGCGGCCATTGCTTATATGGGTCGGGGTCTGGAGGAGGTCCCTTGGGGCAAAACGATAAGGAATTGAAGACCTGCTGTGATTCCAACGGCAAGGGCATGCGGATCTCTCCGCGCAGATAATGCCGTTCACCATCATGGTTCCTCAGGAGTAATATAGGACTGTCTAGCCAAAGGCTAGGTTTCGGGTGAAAGGTTTGAATAATAACCTCTGGATTCCATTCCCAAATCTGGAACTTGTGCGAGGGTGAACGCCGTTCTGCAATAACCCGATACGCTTCGATGACGCCTCGACGGTGATCGTAACGGCCCAGGATTAGATTGCCCGTGTGCTCAGTATCTGAAAACCAGATCTTTTTCTGGGGGATGAACCAGCAAGGATGGTACGCAATATAGAGACTGCGAAAGGAGTCAAATGGTCCCGAATCGTGAATTTTCTCTGGTAAGTAGGAGTTGACCACGTTGGCCCACAGCAGATCGTTAGCCGTGTGCTCGGCCAAGCAGCGACAGGTGGCCGACAGACGAGCGAGGTCTTGTGCCGAAAGATACGATAGAACGGAATGTAAAAGCTCGGTCGGAAGCTGTAACAACGGCGATTCTGTGTTCTGGGCTGTATTGGTGCTCATCCGCATGTCGGGAAAGACTTCATCGTCGTCGACCTCTTGTACTGTGGGTGTGTGGCTCATCTTCTCCAGGGCCAGGCTAGTACTAGATTTCAAATCCATGAAGGTGAAACGGCCCTGGGAAGGCCTCTCGGATGGAGAAACAGGAACGTTTGTAAGGAACAAAGCCAAGCACTAGAAGTTGCTGATTATAAAAGGCCAGACAACTATCAAGGGGGGTTATGTTGACAGGAGGAATGGAGTACTAGTAGGGGGGAGGTATGAAAGATAAGGTAAAGGATCGACATGAATCCGGAGTTCAGTTGCTTTGCTGGATTGTTACTCTTAAATTCTTTAGGGTGGGCGGACGGATGACATCACTGGGGAACAGCATGACATGAGGGGAAAATAAAAATAAAATACGTACATTTAAAAATACATACCCCGGAGTAGAGCTGAGAGAGGGCTTATCTTATCTCCCGCCTGGAACATTGAAATCTACTGTACCTATGGAAATCAACAATGCATTACGAGAAGATTGCTTGAGCTTTCGTCAACATAGTACTGGTAGGTACTAGTATAGTAATGAACCATAAATAGGATTTAGGAGTTCGATGAACAACAGGTGTAATCATATCCATTAGAATACCTGGCAGGAATGTCAACCTCAGGCAGAGTTCGGTCACCTGATTCCAGGATTGTTTACGTCTTCCCAATTGGGAAATGAAAATGGATCCATCAACGCGTATGGATGTGCGGAAGGCACGAATGAGTTCCTTCCTTACTTGGGACTCGCAGTAGTTGAAAGCATCGATTGTTTGTTATTGATTCACATCTCCGGGGACACCAACACCGGCACCATCCCAATAAATTTCCGCCATCAAAGCATTGGCTGACCAAGTATTATTTATATAAATTGTTCCAAGTCCCTCATATACATACATACTACATACACACAAAAAATAGCCTATTAAGCAAGAATCACCATGAACACCAGACAAACGCGGAGAAAAAGAAGTATCAACTCGGTCTCTAATTCAGAGCCCCGCACTTCCACCTCATCCAGGAACCTTCGTGTGTCTGGGGGAATTAGTACTGGGGTCTCATCTTGCGAAACACCCCGCCAACCAACAAAAAGAGTTCGTTTCTCAGATCCGGGTCCACGGCTAGAAGGGAACTGCCTTGGATGCTCTACAGGCCTTACCCCAGCAATGGTTCGCACATCGTTCGAAGAACCCGATGGTCCCACAGATGGCATTGATTGCACCCCAAGCCGCCGGTTGCGGCGGCGCTCAGCGCCACTTCCGCGATCTCGTCGTTCGTTGGGTTCTGTGTTGCCCTTTGATAGTTCCAAGTCAAAGACAGTGGTGCAGTTTACGCCTTTACGGCAAATTTTGGACTCCCGGACTCAGCGGAGAATCCGCCGGCTGGGGCTGAGTGATGAGATTAATCAACTTGAACGAGAGAAGCGGGAGTCTGCGCATTACCAAAAGTCCCTGCAAGCTCTGCTGCAAGAAAGAGATACATTGAAGCAGGAGCTGGATTTGGTAAAACGGAACAGCGGCACTCCAGAACACCATTCACCCAGTAAGGAAATCCTGGGGCTATCCCCTCAGTCTAAGCTAGAGTATTTGGAGTCCTCGAACAGCCAGCTGAGGCAAGAGATCTCGCCCTCCTCCGCTGTAAACGCCGAGGATCAATCGGATGGCGCCGGTACTGAAGGCGACACAATCATCATTGACAGCGGGTTTGAGGGGGACACGGTTCTCATGTCCGATTCTCCAATTATGCGTGGCTTACAGCTTCCTCGACCATCTCCAGATGATTTCTCCCATCTGAGCCTCCCAGACCCCATTACAGATGCGTCAGTTCAAACGTCTCTGTCTGGTCATGACCAAGACGCTGATCTCCTTGCTTTGTCGCTTGACTTAGAAGCTGCTAGGAAGGAGAAGCGGGATTTTTTCACCGCATGGCGCACAAGGCTTGCTTCCTTCCCGGGAACTACAACTGAACCTTTCCTCCAGCGGTCTTCTCCCCCGCCAGATTTCTTCGATCAAATTTTGCCTACACTAACAGAAGCTCTTACCAGCGCTTCAGACGCTATCGGCGCATTGGACGCTGTCAAACAGGAACTTTCTAGTCTAGGGTTCATCGGTAGCAACATGGACGAGATCATTTCGGAAATGCGTAGTCGCTTCCGATCAGCACGCTTACAGCTGGAGCGCGCAGTCCCTGGGGAAACGCCCAGCTCAAGCTTAGATAATGGGAATACAACCCTCAGCGCGCTTGTGAGGCGGGTCGAGCTGCTCGTTAAAAGCTTGAGTGAAGAACGCACTCGACATGAAGGATCTCTTGGGCGAGAGCGGGCATTGCGCGGCCAATTCGATACCTTGTTGATCCGCTATGAAACCGCGTCAAGGAAAATAAGCGATCTTGAAGAATCTATTGCATCTTCCGCAGGTGATATGCTTCACACGAGAATGCGGATGCAGGAGCTTGAGCGTGAAGGGAAAGAGCAAGCCCTAGGGATTGAGAGATTAAATGAAGCTCTTAGCAAATACCGTGTAGAGGTCAAGAGCCTTGAGAAACTCGTGACGGAACTCGAACAGGACAAGGCCGTCTCTACCAAACGACACGAGGAGCAGATGTTGCAACAGGAAAAGAGAGTGGCAGATGAACGAAGCGCCCGTCGTGTAGCCGAGTCGGCTGTTGCAGAGCGAGAGGCACGTATTCAGGAGTTGGAAAGGATTGTTGAGTTGAATAAAATCCGTGTGTGCGATTTGACTGCTAAGATTGAATCACTAGAAAAGGAGCTCAAGCAAACGGTTGACAGCTCCGAACAGCAGGCAGTCGAGCAACTCCAAGGTCACCAACAGGAGGTCGGGAGGATGAACGTCCACATCGCTGAGCTGACCACATATCTGGACACTATCAAATCGGAAGTGGACAAGCTTCGTGGGAGCAACGTTGGCTTAGAGGAACAGCTGCGCCATGAAATGCAGGCCAGGGACGATTTGCTAGAGAAATGGGCTGCAGACCAAGCACGGTCTTTCGCCTACATGAAGGAAACCGTCAAGACAGAGCGACGCAAGGCAAAGGTGCGCACTGCCAATTGGGAACTCAAGTCGGACGAGCTACAGTCGGATGGCACGAACATTGGGAGCGAGCCCATTACCCCTGTTAGCGTGGCGCGATTCGTTGACGTTGAGGTCGGTCGAGGCAAGGAACGACGGCGGCTTGACAGTGGTATCGGGATCCTGACAGAAGACGAGCTTTTTGAGGGCGTGGGTATCGACAATGATACTCTACCTTCTGATCCCGCCGATCTCTAGCTGATTCTCTATTTTGTGTGAGCCATTTCGTTGCTCTCAATTGTTTCCATTTGTAGCATATCTACGATGTGGCGTTATTTATGTCTGGGATTTACTTTGTATGATAAATACTCGCAATAACTGCTTGAACAAACTTGAATCACGATTGGTCCCAGTGTGTAAAACCTTTATCCTGGTAATCAATGAAAAGGGTTGATTATGATAGTCTATGGGCTGTCCAGTCGCATGGCTCGAAGAGACTGCATCGGCTTCTCGATAAATTGCAGATGACGTTGTCTTAGTTGCATCATTCATTGTGTAGGCGGACAAGGACCGCATGAAACGTGGGATTTGCTATGAACGACAAGCTCATTCTTATGCATCGCACTCGAAGAAAGTTAGACTAGTTGTCGGAGTGTGATTGGCCCCTGTCGCCTGAGAAATGAACTCTTTTTATTCTTGGGGAGGATGCCTACACTATGTACACACTACATACTAGTAAGAGGTTGTTGAGATTAGGGCTTCTAAAATAAATCAAGTTACATAAGGCTCTTGGCAACGGCTATCGGAGCGATGACGTCGATGGGCGTCAATCTTTCGATTAACCTTCGATATTCATTCTTTATAAACACTCGATACTACTCCGTACTATTGCAATTCAATTTGAAACTACCGTGTGATCTGCTACTATAGATAAAATCACCCAATTTATTCTTTCAACTCATTGAACATCAAAGAATCGGCGTACCGAACTATACAACTCCAGACTCAGTTATAGAAACCAACCATAGAACCACGATAGAGACAGCATAATGCCAGAAAACGAGACCCCTAAATACCGTCTAAAAGTGACAGCCGGACCCAGCTACGATCCCTCCACACATCAACTCGTCCCAGTCAATGAAGACCAAACCATCCGAATCGAAAATGAGCACGCAATCACGAGTCTCTGCGTCCGCATCCAAGATTACACAGGAAAAAAAAAAAAAAAAGAAAAAAAAGCTCCCAGTGCACCGACCGACAGTTTAAAGCTTCAGATAGAAAAGAGATAATCGAAAGAAAAACTGATTCAAAGCTCTTGAAAAAGGATATCCGAACCACTCCCCAAAGACAAGCCCCTATTTCTACCACCCTCTCCACCAGTCAGATCAATATTCCATCTCCTTCGCCATCGTCTTCAAACACCCCATCAATGCCAACTCCCTCCTCTTCGGTAACGACTTCGACCGTCCCATTCGCGACCGCTTGCCGCCGGGCTTCAACGCCGCTCTTCGCCTCGTCAAATGGACCATCGATCCGACCCTGGATGGCGATGCGTATGCCGATAAACCGTACCTGTATGGTCCGGCCGTAGCTTCGTGGAACCAGTTCTGTATCGGGGAAAAGATCCGGAAGGACGACGAGGTGCCGGGGATGCATGAGCGGGTCGTGGAAGAAGGGGGCGAGGGGTCCGGACTGGAGGTCAGAAAGAAAATGGGGATACCGACAGGTGTGAACGAACGGAGAAAGTATTTTCAGTCTGAAGAAGCTAGGACGGGTTTCGACTTTGAGGAAGGCAGGGTTTACTGGGTGGATTTTGGGAACCCTTACTTAGGGTTTAATGGTTCGTTTCCGTCTTTTTCTTGCTTTCCTGTTGCACGATATCGTGGCTGATTTGGTTGTGGAAGATTTCTCGCTTCACCTTCCTGGGATTACTATCAATGTTCTTCCGTACATTAATGAGGATAATCATTCGCTGCGGTATGTGTTGAAGAATCGGGATACCGATGAGGTTTACCTGGTCGTGCTTTATACGCTTGTTTTGCAGGGAACAAGTGAGGAACCGTTGCATAAGGAGGAGACGGAGAGGATGAGGAAGGAAAGTAAGGAGCAGCATGAGAAGAATGACGGGAAGTTGAGGAGGTTTGAATGGGAGCCTGAGCCATCGGCTGATGATGTGGAGTAGGTATGTTATACAATATAGACCTAATAGATACACATATCATTGCTTTGTTAGGCCACGGAATACTGGAGCAATATATTTTTGTTTTTATCTATGCCTGATACATATACACATGCCCTTGGCTCAGTAGTACATCATGAAAGGACACCCATCTACAGCCTCTTCAGAACGTCGTCAAGGACCTCCTGGGTGGTAGCCTTTCCACCCATGTCAGGGGTGAGGTACTTGCCCTCATCCAGGTTGGCATCAACGGCGGTGTAGATCTTGGCGGCAGCACCCTCCTCGCCTAAGAACTCTAGCATCAGGGCTGCACTACGCAGGGTGGCGATAGGGTTGGAAATGCCCTGGCCCTCAATGTCGGGCGCACTACCGTGGCAGGGCTCACCAATGGCAAAGCCGTCACCAACGTTGGCGCTGGGGACAAGACCCAAGCTTCCGACCAGGGCGGCCGCACCGTCAGACAGGATATCACCATAGAGATTAGGAGCAACAATGACGTCGTAGTACTCAGGCTGGCGGAAAAGCTTGTACACCATCGAGTCAACAATCTGCTCCTCCACCTCCACGGAGGAGAAGCGCTCGGCGGCAAGAGCCTTGCGGGCAGTCTCACGGAAGAGGCCGTCGGTTTGTGACAGCACATTGGACTTGTGGGTGATGGTCACCATGGGCTTCGAGCGCAGGCCCGCAGCGGGAGCTGAGTCGCGGATCTTCTGCCGGCGCAGGGCGATCTCTCCTGCAATGGTGGAGATCCGGGATGAGGCATTCTCGGAGATCCGCTTGATAGCCTCGGCAACCTTACCGTTGGGGGTGTCCTTGGTCTGCTCCTCCTTGACGTACAAGTCCTCGGTGTTCTCGCGGACGATTACCAGATCGACAGGGTTCCTGCCACCGCCAACAGTAGACTTGACTGGCCGGACGTTGGCATAGAGGTCCAGCTTCTTGCGGAGAGCGACAATAGGCGACGAGTAGCCAGCGACCTTGGTGCTCGGGGAGCTATTATGCGAGTTATTCAGTAAGGTCCGAAACATTCTGATGACAAGCAGTGTGTTTTACCTGACAGCTCCAAACAAAGCACCGTCACACTCCTTCTTCAAGGTCTCGACAGTCTTGTCGGGCAGGGCAGTGCCGGTCTGCTTGAAGGTATCGAAACCAGCATCCAGGTTGATGAAGCTGAAATTGAGGTTGAGAGACGCTGGAAGAGACTCCAACACTTTCCTACCGGCCTATATCATGGTGGTTGTTAGAATTTCCAATCACCTTTTTCAGCAAAGAGCTGTCGAGCTGTGAGGTATATACCGGAATGACCTCTCGGCCGATGCCGTCACCGGGGATGAGACCTAGAGGATGATATCAGTTCATGTTCGCATACAGACAATGTACTACAAATTAGTAGAAGAGGATCAATTGACCTATGCGAAGTGTCCTAGCAGCAGCCATGGTGCAAATTTTGGAGGTGATACTGGAGTTGAGAAAACATCCGGTCAACGGAAAGCCGTAATCGGAGTGGGAAGGTCATTTGGATGCGGAGGCGGGAAGAATATTGATCCGGGGAGAGAGACATATGCATGTACATACAGAAGTAAACAAACTTATAATCTATTATATTTGGAGTTTTCAGCACTAAAGGGGAGATTCAGATCAATTCATGCTTAGATGTTGATGGACCAAAATGATGCTTATCTCTCTTTGTCTTGCCAGAAAGTATTTTTGCATTGCGTTATGTGAAACGCATTTATTAGCACTTAGTAGTAGGATGCGTACTTGGAGCATATTGTATGTGCATGTACGGAGTACATACGGAGATATAAGCAACTAGGGTACTCCTGAAAAAACACGTGAGTCATAAGTATCGTTAGATAAATAATAACTAACTAATAACAATCCTTAGAGTAACTAGTTAATAATAATAATATTATTATTAATAGTTAAACTACTTCATAGCAACGCATGTGAACTAATACAAGTAGTACAAAGTAGTGCAATGCAACCATCCATCGTCTAGAAAGAAATAGGCAACGCAGGATCTCTCTAGCCCCAGGCACGTATTATTCATTCGTCCTTACCTGACCTGCAATCTGGCCTTTTAGGGGATGTGACATCGATGGGGCGCGCCCGTTTGCCGGGATTGTCCAAGGTAAAAAAGACCGGCAAGGGACTCCGTCGATATATTGGCCTGGAGCAATGAAGAAAGAGAGGAAATCCTGTGACAAGGAGTGGGTCAAACGATGAAACTATGAGTCCACAATTAATCGAAAGGGGTAATTCTCAGGAACATTCGTGACGAAGGAGAATCATTAAACTGAAGCGCGGATCCGCTGCCCCCTGAAACCGCTGCCTCAGGCTGCAGGGTCGAAGCCAGAATGTCCCTCCACATCCCCGTTGCTGGGGCCACTTCTCTTCCTTTCCCTCTCTCTCTCTCTTCTCTTCCTCTCTTCTCCTCTTTCCCCCACCCCTCTCTTTTTCTTCTCTCCTTTCCCTTTCGTACCGTCTGGTAATTTCAATCCTTCCTGTTAATTTCTCAACGCGAATTTCTATGTCGGACTCATCATTCTGTCATTGATATCCCATTATGCTTGACTTCCACGTTGGCTCGCTAGATTGCTGATTCGCTCTCCACTCGAACTGTTACTCTTTGTTTATATCACGTCACCACCCGAGAAGCGCGTTCAACCGTGTTGACAACCGCATCCACAACGGTGCCGTCATTTTCTATTCGCATATCATAGCAAAGATCTCTTCCCAGTCTTTCACCACCCAAGCTCGCGCCAACAGTCCCGCTACGTTTATTCCGCTCACTCCGAGCATCGCCACGCTTCAACCTCCCTGTCTCCTTGACATCCTAACTTGACGCCATGCCAGATACGGGTGCTCATCCAGGGGTGAGGAGCTTGCTCGCCAGGTTCGAAAACAACAACAACAACAACAACAACAACAACAACAACAACAACAGCCAGAATACCACGTCCCCACCCTCCCGCGGTCGATCTCCCGTCGGTTCTGAGCACTCGGGTTCTAGGCCTCTATCAAAAGTGCGTGCGAGCTTCATAGCTGTTGATGGAGCCACTCAATCTGGTGCCGTCGCCGGGCTGAGAAGTGCAAGCAGTCGCAGTGACAGCCCAGCTGCTCCCCCGTCGAGGGTGAGGAGTTTCAATTCAGATGACCTGAACGCCCCTTTGAAAAGTCCCTTGTCGTCCCCAATCAGCAATGGTTTAGATAACGAGCAAACCTCGAGTGAGGCCAGGTCAGGCGACATGGTGGAAACAGTGATCACACAAGTGACCTCCCCCGAAAAGGGTGGAAAGCCCCAGGCTAAAGAAGCAGCGACCCCTCATAAGGAAAGCGACCCTACCTTGACCGTCTCTGCTGCGCCATCCCCGAAGAAGACGCAGGCAATTACCAAGCGGCCGTCCACCATCCAGGTGGATAAAGTTACACCCAATCAATCTGCGTCCAAGTCGACGTCTACGACCCTGAAATCTGCGGCACATCCGCGGACTCCAACATCTCCTGCCAAACCCGACCATGCTAAGGCCTCTAAGCCGGCACGCTCCCCCAGACCTCCTGCTACCAGAGACTCACCCAAAGTTCCAACCACCAAGCCAAGCCGTTCATCTCTGAACACGACAGCCAAGACTGCTACACGACCTGTTCGCTCTTCCATGCCGGCACGCGAGGCAACCAAGTCGACAGCGACGAGTGCAGCCCGCACTAACAAGCCGGAGCCAAGACCGCCAACCAAGCCGGCTCGTCTGCCAGCTTCGGCAACGACATCAACTCTATCATCGGCCGCTAGAGGAGGTGCTACTGGAACAACAACCGCTAGCCTATCCCGGAAGCCGTCAAGTTTGAAGAATGCAACGAGTGGGACCTACCGCACGACTACTACTTCCAGCGTTCGCAAGCAGACATCCCAACCTTCTCTCCAACGTCAATCAGCACATGAGCGCCCGCATTCCCGAGTAAGCAACACTAGTTCTAAGGCAGTTGACGAAGGATTTCTGGCCAGAATGATGCGCCCCACCGCTAGTTCTGCTAGCAAAGCTCATGAGAAGGTTGAAGTGAAGAGTCCACCCCGGTCTTCCCGGGTGACTCGGGCTCCGGCAAGACCAGTTGCTTCGAAGACGGAGGCCCACAAATCGCGCCCAACGAAGGAGAAGAGTGTGGCTAGAAAGCCACAGGAGAAGCCGCAGCCAGTGTCTAACGAGAAAGAAGAGCCGCAGGCAAAGGCAGTTGATCCCAAAGAGGATACTGCACATGTGGATGTTATTGAGCCTCACTCCAAAGTTGCAGACGAGCCTGTTCATGCGGTTATCGACTCATCAGTTGTTACAGTCGAGAAGGAACGCGCAACTGAGAAGCAGTTGGCGGATTTGCCCGTCGAGCCCTCAGTAGCTTCTGAAAATGCACCAGTTGAACCCTCTGTTGAGCTGGAGCATCCTATTCAAGCCGCAAAGGTCCCCGAAGAACAGACTCTTGCCATTCCACCAACTCAAGAACCCACCATCTCTGCCGACGAGGCGGTAGACTCCCAGAGCGTCGAGCCCTCTGAGCTTTCTCGCATTGAAGAGACCAAGGAACAGACTGGTGTTGAGTCTCCAGCTGCTACTGCTGAAGTGAAGCCAACTGAGAATGTTACTGAGACAGAGGTCAAGGCAGACGACGTTGATGTCGACGTCGGCAAGCTGTCTCTCAACTGAAGAGCGAGCACAACCAAGACAATCATGATGTTACATGAATGTCTATATTTACATCCATACTTCGTTTCTTGTGACTTATATATTCTTCATACCCGTCTTATTCGTGATGCGACCTGATACATGTTATCGTCTACAGGTTCCCTTTTTTAGCCTTCTTTGGTTTACTTGTGCTGTCTTTTTTTATCTTTTTTATTTTTTTACTTATTATTTTCTGTTTCGAAAGCATCTCATTCACAGTATGAGCAGGGCCGACGATGTATGCATGTCGGAGCATTTTCTGGTGGAGTTCTAGATTCCAGTTGCTTTTAGCGTTAGGGCTTGCATATTATCCCACTTGCATATGTACTTGGGGGGAGTCTAATCAGGTTCTTGTTTCTTTTCCGCCCGTTTCCCTTTGATTCGCCTATTTTACTTTTTTTTTTTTTATCTTCCCAAGCCTTTTTACCATCTTCAATTCTCCTGTTATTATATTTGTCCCGGGTCTTCTAGTTGTTTAATCCTTTCGTATTGTTGCTTGAGCGTTGACAGTGCAAGTTTCTTCCACAGTTTAGCATCACTGTCGGAGCCGTGGGCTTTGCTCTTTTATATCTTCTTCCCCTTCTTTTTGGGATTTTGGTCAACACTTACTGTCTTGGGTAGCGCGTGAACAAAACTCCGTTTTTCAATAGCTTAGAATCCGAAATCAAGGATTCTGAACCAATTCAAGGAATCGCCCAAGATATAAATCTGATATTATGAAGACTAACGCCACGTAAAATTCCCAAACGTGATTTGCTATTTTGTCGTTTCGTGTACATGTATACCATCAGCGGTACAGCTTTGAGTGGCGAGCACCAGAACATTTAATCTGGGCTCCGTGTATCAAATTTTCTTCTCCAACTTCTTCAAGAACCTATTGACACTGCTCTCCATTCGGTGGGCTCTTTCCTCCAAATTTCGGGGCCGACCGGAGTTTTGTATTGACTTCTGAGCTATTTTCTGGGAATGTGAATTAATCTCTGCTTCAGTGGGCCGGTACAGCTGCTTGTGGATGTCATAGTCATTTGCCACTGGTTGTTGCACGGCTGCTTTATCATACGAGTAGTTTGAGTAGCCGCCAACTGGGGGTGGCTGTGGAGACGCCGGCTGGATTTGAGGCTGGCCGCCATATAAATTCTGGGTCTGACCGTAGAGATGAGCATTGGGATCCTTAGGGGGAGGAGCAAATGACATAGTCACTGGCGGGTGGGAATTAGATTGGTGACCCCCGCCTCCCCCGGCAAGGAACGATGGTGTATAGGATGGGATGCTGGGCGGGCTCTGAATGGATGACCGAGACGAGAACGAACCGGAATGTGTTAGGCCGGCACTGGGTGGCGGCGATGCGTAGCTCCCAGGCATAGTGTATGGGAGCCCTTGACTGGTTGGGGGAGGTGCAAAACCTCCTCCACCCGTGATCTGGGACGGTGGTGTGAACGGTGCTCCGCTGTCAGCTGTTACAGCCGCTGCGAGTCCGGTTCCATCTCCGCCGTCGACCGGAGGGGGGGTCTTCTCCCGATGTTGGATTGGTTCAGGCGCGGCTGGTGCCGCAGGGTTATATGGAAGAGGCGTAAATTGGGCAGGATCACTTCGTTCTTCTGCAGCAGGCGGAGTGCTATTGATCGTCTTCTGTGCTGTGGCGGGTGGACCACCAAGCGGAGGTGGAGGAGGAAGATTGCTTGGTATTGAGAATGTCTGGGTAGGGGGCGGGGAGCTGGGTGCAGGCTCTGATTGAGAGTTACGAGTCTGCCCGTTCTGGTACGCCGGATCTGTGATGGCCACGTTTTCTAGTTGTTGTACAACTGTACTGACTGAAGCTTGGGGTGGAGGCGGATATGGATGCCTGTCTGTCTCGATCTGCGAGGGAGACAGATAATTCTCCATCAGGTTGAGGAAATTATCCGCATCGTCTGACGTCCAGAAATAAATGTCCAGCGTGTGCAAGCGTAGTTCATTGTCCTCGCCACGTGGGTCAGTGCTTGGTAATAGCCATTCATGAGGACTGGCATTCGGTGGTGGAGGGAACGCCTGCGTGCCCTGTGAAGGCGGACGGCCGTCCACGATTAATGTACACAGCGTTGGAAACTGGGTGGAATGACGCAAATAGATCTGATCCAGGGCTGGACATCAGTCAGCGAGGAAAGTTAATGTATGCGGAGGATGGGTGGAGAAAGCACCAACCGCCATTAAATGCATCTTGGTCAGGAGTCCCAGGATTATTCGCTACTTCAATCCTTGTCTTACGCTGCGCCGCATTGTGATAAAGATATAGATAGGAGCCCTTATCAAACCGGTGATGGAGAGGCTTGGGAGTCGGAGCTGTGAAATAATAATGGATATCGGCAAAACTATGAGGGGGTCAGACTAGTTTATCACATTTGAAAGAGGGAGAGATTTTGCGGGGAAAGTGTACGACTTACACCGTCAGCGTACGCTCTTCACCCGGCAACGGGGGCATAATGGCTTATCGGTACTATATATTGATAGTATAGCAAGATAAAGAGCAGTTGTTGAAGGGGAAGGTGGACAGGCATGCAAAGAAGTACACGATAAAATATTTGGGGACAACATTATATATCAATGGGAACGATTCAATGAGGGGAAGCAATTAATGTGATTGGGGCCTATAAGCTGCAGTTGTCCAGAAGGCCGGCGGCTAGAGGGCGCTTCGAGATGCATCCCGGCGCCGTGATTAGTTGATGCCCTATTAGGCTGGCGGCCTATAGGAACCTCCCGTCGGAAGCCGTCGTTTCGTTTCTCCGAAAATTTCATTTGAGCTTCCGCATCATCACAACTTCGCGCGGCCCATCAACGTTTATTACGGAGATCTTACACTTGAAACGGGGGGTCTTCTTGCTGTTATCTTCTCTTCTGAGTCTTTCTGATCAAGAGATTCAGCCTTCGGTAGGTGTAATTGTCCTCTCCTCTATCTTACAATGGAAAAAAGGCAGTGCTCATACCTACTCTCCCCCCCCGTAACCAGTGATTTATCGGTTCTCCCGCACACCATCTGAACACTCAAGGGATCCCCTCCAATTGGGCCAATTCTGGGAACTTATAATCCAAAATGTCTCTTGTCAATCTCGCCCACGTTTGCTCCCATCTAAACAACGCCACCAAGGCCCGCTTGGGTCTCACATCCATCCCGAACACGCAGCTCCACCTGAAATTGTGCCTTGCTCTCCAAAACTCTGGTTACATCTCTTCTGTCGTCCGCGGAGGCCCGACTCCCCCTCCTCAACATACTCTTCTGGGTGTTCCGTCGGTAAATGATGAAGTTGAAGGCGTACAATCGTTGACCCAAAGCAATGTCGCCTCAAGGCGTCTCTGGCTTGGGCTCAAGTACTGGCAGAGCGATCCTGTCCTCGGCAAGATGAGCATGGTTAGCAAGCCCAAGAGAAGGATCACGATCGATGTCGCAGGTCTCCGAGAAGTGATTCGTGGCGAAAAGAGTGGATATGTGGAAGGTTTGCGGTCCCCCGGTGAAAGTTTATACCTATCGACGGACCGCGGTATTATGGAAGCGCGAGAGTGTGTTGAGAAGCAGGTGGGAGGCTTGGTTCTTTGCCGGGTGCTCTAAATAATTGATATGGTTGTGGAAAGGCAAAACAAGATAGAGCGTTTCTTTCATATGTGTTGGATGCTGTGGGTTTTGCATTTGAACCGGAGTTTGGTCAGTCGCAATGCCTCCGCCCATGATTTGTATCTTCTTGTTTTTTATGTTTGCGACAGCTGGGATGGATACCTTGTACAGTAACATAGGATCGACTTCATGTATTACTTAGTTTTCCTTCATTTTGTGCTTCTGTCTATGACCTGGCTGTTTTTTAGACCGTCCACTACTATTATACAGCGTTGTGTACATGGCTTGGAACTGGATGGGACCGACTAGATCAAATGGTAGAAGAGTAAGTCATGAAGAAATCAAAACTTTCGAGCAGAGTGGTGGTCCTGAGGTACCTACATCTATCTAGTATATAGGTGACGTTTTAGATTACCACTTAGAGGGCTAGCCGGAAATGGAATCCGTTTGCGGAAGGCAAAGAAACAACCACCTTGGAATTCTTCCCCTATCCATCTCCATAGTTTTTGCTGCTACATAGGCCTCATTAATGATCTATTCAAACACTCCTTTCGCCCTACATCATTTCTAGATTCCCAAACTGTAGCATGACAAGACTTGCACGATGGAAAAAGTCCTGATATCAGGCGGAACCGGTTTTGTCGGTGCGGCCATCGCCAGAGCTCTTGCAGAGAAACATCCCGAATGTGCCATCACCATCATAGATCGCAAGCCGCCTGGATCGGTCCATACTCTACCAGATGGTATCGAGTTCATCAAGGTCGATGTTACTATCCAGGAGGAGGTCAGCAAGGCAATAGAGCAGGTCAAACCGGATATTATTATCCACGCGGCCGGAATTGTTCCAGCCCTGAGTGAACGATTTGGAAGAAGGCTTGAAGGGCATGTTTGGAAAACTAATGTTGGAGGAACAGAGCATATCTTGCAGGCAGCTAAACAGAGTGGAGTCAAGGGCTTTATTTACACCAGTTCTTGCTGTGTGGTGACGGATCAAATGGGTGTACCGTACCACAATATCGATGAACAATGGCCTACACCACCCTCCTCACTCATCTATGGCGAGTCGAAGGTTGATATCCCGTTTTAATATATGTGGCGTAATCTAAGGGTGTAATCTCTGACATGCTGATGCATATCCTCGCATTTAGGCTGCTGCAGAAGCTATAGTTCTTAAGGAATCAAGTGACACCATGGCCACATGTTCTCTCCGGCCTTCTGTGCTATGCGGACCGGGTGACGACCGGCTGGTCCCTGTAATACATGCATGTATAGCCAAGGGCGAAACCCCGTTCATCGTTGGTGATGGCCAGAATCTGTGGGATGTGACATACGTCACCAATGTTGCCGATGCCCATGTCCTGGCTGCCGAGAATCTGATGTCTTCAAAGACTGCAGCCGGCGAAGTCTTCTTTATTCAAAACAATGAACCCATCACCTTTAGGGACTTTTGCCTTGCCATATGGGTTCATTTTGGCCACACGCCCTCGTTTGAGATTCACATCCCCGAGGCACTGGCTTATCTTGTTGGCTTGATCTGTGAATTCTTGACATGGATCTTTGGGACAACCACTACCTTGAGCCGCGGCAGTGTTAGGGATGCATGTTCTGTTCGTTATGCCAGCGGCGAGAAAGCAAAGCTGATACTAGGGTTCAGACCCCAAGTAGGGATCGAAACGGGTGTTCGGCTCAGTTGTGAGGTAAGTAGACAATCGTGCCTATCCATAGATCTCTCATGTCCTTGTTTACTCGGCTATCTAGGATTATGCTCGACGTATGGGAATAGAATCACCAATGCAGCAGGCATGTAAGAAGGGTGAATGATCTCCATGTGCATCTCAGCCAAGAATTACTGCATTGACAGTGTAACCCTCCCATCAATGAAGTTGGCGAATACGTGTTGCTCTGACGTGACAGAAAACATTAGCCATTGTATTCCACGAATCATCTGCGAGCCTCAAGTCTTCTGGGCAGTTTGTTGGGCTGCAAACATTGTCTACGTACGCGGTATCTCCCGGTATGCACCGTACAGGACTAGCCTATGGCATTCCTTTTATCCCTTTTACTTCTTTAACCTGGCCTTAATCCGTGGTTGTCTGTCTAAAAGACCCGTTTGTCTTTCTTCATAGCCAACGGGATCGATAGAACAGTTGAACCTCGAGAAGATATTGTTCCGAATAGAACCGGATAAACTTTTGCAGCACTTCGTATCTATTAGTTGGCCGCGAAGTGGAATAGGAATCCAATAATTGAATTATTCTCGGCCTTTCCTGGCAGCCAAATTGGATCACCCCGCAATCCACAGATACATATGACGAGGACTGGCCCGCAGCTTTGGGCAACAAAACCCGCAGCCAGGTGTATGCCCAACTTGTGTCAAGAAGCATCAGGATCCCAACGAGGATGGCAAAGATTCGCGTGCTCCACCGTGGGTATCCCAATTTCGGGCCGCCATCTGTTGGAACCTGGCGCTTTTATGGTCCAGTCCACCGACCCTGATCAATCCAAGTACCATTATAATGGTAGACACTATGGGTCGTCGGACTTGTGTGGTCCCATCGTTTTAGTACTCCCGTCGACGGATCCGTCAGTGATCAGCGCAAGCTATAGGCGATGGAGTCAGCACCGGTACATAAGTTGCAGCGGCAGTTGCTTCGATAGTGAAAGCAAAGACCAATCCGGGGTAATAGAGAGAATCGTTATGAAGAAGAAGAAGCAGGATGGATTCCGTAGCACCTGCTTGGCTGCGTCCTGAAGGCTCAGGCAGGCGCCCTTAACCCGAACGGGACCAACCGGGGCTCCTTTTTTGTTTTTTTTTTTTTTTAACGAAGTCTTTGACTTGACACCCAACAACCACACTCCGAATGGATCCCATCTTTCTCGCAGCCATACTCCACCCGGGATCTGTGTGGGGATAACCCACTCAGTGCTGGAAAGGAACTCTAACCGCGAGCTTCCTGCGATATAATTGCTGCATGATCTCCGATGGAGCCAAGCCCTGAGACAACCTGTCACTCTGCCTAGTGGATGCATGCGCCCTGCGCAATCCTGATATTGGTGCCCAAAACTCAGTGTAGGCGGGTATCTGTCGTTGGCTCCCCTCTTTCATTTCGATGTCCTATGATCCCTATGTCCTTTCGAGGTAGGATCAGCACCCGAATGCTGACCAGAATCTGCTCCTGATGGGTGCTTTCCAGCTTTTCCGGGTTGATCCCACAAGAGGTGCACCCCTTCCCCCCTAAAGGGCAGTGCAAGGAAGCACCTGATTGAAGGTGAGACACAAGACGGACAAGGGAGCTTGGGTCAGGCACCTGCCTGGTCCATACCTCGCGCTTTCGTGATGACTGTTATTTATCCTCATCCAGTCGTTATTTACGCCCCTTTTTTGATCTCTCTCTGTAAACCTTGTCAAACGGGGCCTGGTGTTGAGAGGATTTGATTGGCGATCCGACCCTGCTGTATAATGGTCTTCTCCGCAAGCCTTGTTCTAGACAGGAACAGAGTCCCCCTTTGTGAGTGCCCTTGGCCGTTGTAGCGTGGTGTTCTTCATACCCTGCCTATCTTTATCTGAGATATCGTGGGACGGAAGAAGCAAAAGCTCGCCTCGGTCCACAACGATTGGGCCCATATCCTTGCCTTTGCTTACCTAGATGTTTATATTAAACCAGAGCTCCCTAGCTTTGAAGTGAGACATTGCTCGAAAACAATCTTTGGGTTAGCAGCTCGGCAGCCTCGAGAATATCCGACTAGCCCTATTTTGTGGTCTCTTTGCCAATTTCTGTGCTTAAATACAACCTCATGCGTCGGTGCTATCCGCCCAAGCAATAGCAATGTCCTCAACCTTCAGTTATTTTTCGGGGACGTCAGGCAGTGGCTCTTGCACGCACTCCATTAGCAGTGAATCCGATTCCTGGTCCCGCCACAGGTCAGCGCTAACTGGCAAATCCCCTTGTCTCTGCCTTGTTCCCTGTTGTCTAAGGTTATCGAAAGAAGCTCACCAGCTGCAGTGCTATCATGCATCAACAACCACCAATCTACGGGACTGCTAGCGAGCCTCCGCTGGTTTATCAACCCCATCCAAGGTATCTATCTAATCATGCTGTGTCGCTTCACTTCCCATTGGGAAGAGATGGTATCGTGCTGAGGTAAACTTATCTAGCGCCAAACGATTTTCTCCCCCACATCGTGATTGCGGTCCTCTAGACACTCAATCTGCTACCGCAAGGCCGCCAAAGCAAGTATCGCCGGAGTTTGAGTTTCCCATGCCATACAATGGCCTTCCGGTGACTACACACGCCTCTGTTGGGATGACTGTCTCGCCCGTGGGGCCTTTGCCACGTCCAATTCTTTCGCGAGAGTGGGAACATCCCGCTCACCTGCCTCCGGAATCGCTTAGGCGCGATTATAACTTTGTTAAGCCAGCAGAGAACCCGGAGTACCTGGTGGAAAGGAATAGCCGACGTAATTCTGAAAAGATCAAAGGCACTGTCCGTTACCACTCACAGAGACGACCGTCCAACCGGGATGAATTTGATGGACCCCATCAGTTACTAGATATCCCCTCTCCGCGTATTATAGCGGCTCAGGGAAGGGATCTTCCTCATCTTCCTACTAATCTTGATGTTTCAGAGCAAGATCGAATCCTGAGCGCAGTGAATGACCGGCTGTCGCAATGTGCTTTTGACTTTGTTGCAAAGTATCAATTTCCGATTCCACTGGAACCGGACAAGAGACAGGTGAGGGTTCCCTCAGACCGTGAATGGACTGAGTGGGTATATCTCCTTAAAAGACTGGCCACCAAGCGCCGCATTCCCGCCCGGGTCTTGTATAATGGCCAGATCAAGCAATTAGTCACGGTGCTGGAAAACTCCCTGGAAATGAGGCATGCTGCCAAGCATCAGTCTAGACCCATCAAGGATGATCGAAATGTTCTCCAGCTAATTTCAGCCGGCACCCAAGTGGCAAAGATCCTTAAAGATGCCAGTGCCATGGAGTACTTAGACCGTCTTTATGTTGACACGGAGAAGCGCATTCAGGATCGACGTACTCGGCGGGTAAAGTTCGCCAATCCATGAACAAGCCCTGGCTCTTTCAATTTTGAATGTGATATCTCCACACAATGGCCACTTTCCTTTTTATGCCGCAGACTATGCCCTACTGGAAACTATCATGTCCCATGGCCTATGGTACACTTCCATTACTCCTTGATAGGCTATTTCCAGGGATGGTTCCTTCCGGTAGCCAACGTTTTGGCTTTGGATCATCCGGATATTTGATTCACTCCACTTGGTCGGAATATAATCCTTTCTCGGACTCTGATGATTCATGAATAACACAGCATTCCACATTTGGCCCATGAGCTCCTAAGCCATCCGGAGAATTTTCCCTTGATGAAACCCATGGATAATGAGATATACCGAAGGCAAATCCCAAGCCGTTCCTGGTCGTCCATTAAAGCGTACGCTGCACTATTTACTGTGCAGGTAGTGATGTTGTGGCTCTTTTTTATGCCCCCTTTTCCCACGTTGCTGGATAGTCCTTTGTTTGTTTCTGTCTTTTCGATTATGTTCTTCTGCGTTTTATGTCTACTTTATAATCAGGCCGGGAGGATAGTCATGGGCATTGCTTTTGCCTACTCCTATGTTCAACGCCCGGATTGATTCAATGATCCTGGACTTTGTGTATTTATGGTGTGGGTATCTGTTTATCATTTCTCTATCCGACCTTGATGGACAATGATGGTTTCAGTGGTCGGCCTCACGAAATACCGTTTGATTATGCATTACTGGATGATTGAATGCCTGTTATGTCACCTTTTGCCTTGTTCATAGACTCCTGGCTGCAGTGGTCTGATTTTTCAATCCGATGTGCTATTATTTCCATGGTGGCCTAAACTGCAGACGTGTCCGGATTGATCCAAAGGATCACAGTGACAATACACTATTCTACATGTCAAACTACGGTGGGATGTGTCTTTCCGAGCTTTCTTATTATCACCGATCGAAGGGAAAACTCGTGGTTATGACACATTCCCTGATCAACTTTGCTGATAATACGCCTGACTGAGCTACACACATACACAGCGAATGGTGAGGAAGAAAAGAAACAAGATTCATTATGCCGATAATAGGAGAAAGAAGTGGCTTGCTCAAAGCCCGAAACAAAGGCTAAGGATAAAGGTATTTTGATAATTTGACGGCTGCACTCACAGCCCGTTCATCTTCTTAGTATTCGTAGCCCATGCGTTTTCCGGGGCCTAGGGAGAGCATGGTGCTGTGGCACTATTGGTCAAACTTTGCACTCGAGGGTTGCATCGAGCCTCTGGTTATTGTTAATTATGCTTACTAGATAACAAGATCATGCAACCCATGTTCTTCACAAATCAGGCGAGAAAACGTAGAAACCAACTAGACCGAGGAATACATCAGAATAATTGGGGCAAGCGTTGAATTCTATGCTCTATCATCTATCATCCGCGCAACACACTTGGGAAAAATCTCAACTATATCCAAGGTTCATCTATATAAACAAGACAGACGCTGAGTCATGGAAGCAGATAAGAAGGAGAAAGACGTATTTACTTAACAAAACAAAACATATCCTGGACAGAAGAACTCTAGACATCCACCTCATGCGTTTCTAGGCGAAATCTTCGTCCAAGAATGACCTAAAAATCGGACCGCAGATTGTAGTGCAGATAGCGGCGAAAACCCGCCTGGAGTTCTCCAAGCCAGTAATCCAGCGACAGCTATGCTTGAAATGATGGCAGATGCGAATCCGTAGCCAAGTATCCTGCCTTGTCTGTGTACTACCTTGACGACGTCCGAGTACCGCTGTGTACTGAAGCTGACACGAGCATACTGGGTCTTCCAGCCAAGGCTAGGCACATAGAGATCGAGTGCTTCCTCGATTGACTTACGAACTTTGTACAGTGGGGTCTTCACTCCCCAGCGCATCTCAAGGTAATTTTGTTTGGAGAGGTCATTGATGGCGTGCGCATCCGCCGTACGTTGATCGGTGTATGCTTGAAAAGCTGCTCGGCGCGATTCGCGGCGAGTCGCGAGACTTGCATTCAGGTCAGAGGCGTCATGCTTATCCAAGAAATCGAACAAAACCCGGATATCTTCAAGACCTGCGTTGAGACCTTGCCCATAGAATGGAAGGATGGCGTGAGCAGCATCTCCAACGATGACGACGTTGGAGCCATAGTGGTGAGGCTTGCTTTTGATGCTGATTAGGGGGAGATGAGGGTTTTCTTTGAATTGCTCTTGCAGAGCTTCAGGGGTGATCAGATCCGGGGAGACACCGGGGAAGTTAGCATCGAAGGATTGGAACAGTTTCTGCGGTGAGCTCTCCAATTGCGCATAGTGGGCGGCTGGAGCAAACAGAGTACAGGTAAATGATTTGTCAGGCGATGGAAGAGCGATGAACATAAACTCCTTTCCGGGCCAGATATGCAGGTGGTTCGGCGAGATGCGGAAGTCACCGTTGTCCGATGGTGGGATCCGAAACTCGCACCACAGAGTGTCGATGTACTCTTGTTGGTAGTCTACTCGAGAATACTTCATCATGTGATACCTCGAGGCGGAATGGGCACCATCTGCACCGATCATGTAATCGAAGCTTACTTCGATCTCAGGGACACGGTTGGAGGAGCCAGGAAGGGGAGTGTCCCCTGGGGCTCGGCGTTCGAACCATGCTCGGTTTGATTGGAAATCAGCTCCGGTTAGTTTGTGATTGAAAAACAGTTTGACATTCGGCGTCCGCTCCAGCTCATCAAGCAAAGCATTGTTGAGCGTGCTCCTATCTACTGAGTTGATGGCCTATGAGTCTGTTAGATACCGCTCTTCACGGGACCCTCAAGCATCCGTCATGTAAGTACTAACTTGACCATGAACGTCGTATGCCTGCGCAGCTTCCCAGAGCTTCCCATCGTCTCTCCCGTGAATCATACGACCGTGCATCGGAATTGCATCGTTGAGAATCTTCTCGATCATGCCATCTCGATTGGAGCCCTTCAGGGACGAAATACCTCGTTCGGACAGAGCGAGATTGATGGACTTGGTAAAGTTCAATGGGATCGTAGTAGGATCACGAAGATCTGCAAGTTACTCCACAACGTGAGCAAAAAGATCCGCAATCAACATCCATGATGATGCATGTAATATAATATCATATATCAGATGATGATGATGATGATGATGTCATTCCAGCGAAAAGGAAAATCAATTTCCGAGTCGAGAAACTCATATCCTCATATAGTAGATCTCGTACGATACAGCATGGGCATGTCATGGATGTAGGCTCACCTCCACGTAATTCATACACTTCAACATCATCGCCTCTAGCGGCAGCATATAGGGCTGCGAGAGACCCGACCGGTCCGGCACCTACGATGACTACCTTCTGCTTTCTCGGAGATTCATGTGCCATGATGACTGTAAACCAGAAGGAGGTCTATTAAGTGAAGCGTACTTTGCTTCTCTTAAGAAGAAAAATCATTCACTGTTATATTATCGATCAATATGGCTCATGGATAGAACTTTGCCTCACGTGATTTCCACGTGAGTGACATCGGACGATTTCTCCCCAATTACAGCCAGCGTTGGTTGCGCCATCCTTTTTTACGCTTAAATTTTCGTCCCCTAGTACTAGAAATATCACCTGATACCCAGCCGCGCGTCTAGATGCGCTTAATCGTTGACCCTAGATGATAGATAAACTAAACTTGGTACGGTTAACGGTCTTGCCACATTAGGAATAATCACTTCTGGGCCGAGACTCGACCGACTAATCCGACGGATGTATCCGCGGGGAATTTTCCCAATTTTTTCTACCTCTCGCAACCTTTTATCCGCATAGGATACCCCAATTTAATTTTGTTTCGCATTTGTTGCGTTATTTCTCCCTTTCGATTACTTCCTTATTTATTTCTTACAGCATGGCAGTGGAAACCGCGACTCGGAAATGTATGGGAGTGGATTGCGACAAGATCGCGGGGACTCTGCAGTGTCCGACATGCCTTAAACAAGGCACAGATAGCTTCTTTTGTTCACAAGACTGTTTTAAACGGAGTTGGGTAGGCTGCCTAGCGTGACCTGTAGGGTCCACGTACTTTGCTCTCCTTTTCGACTCTGCGAGTATACTAATGTTGTTGTAGAGCGAGCACAAGGCCATTCATAAAGCAAAGAGTAATATCCTCACCAACCTGTTTCCGCCCAAAGTAGTTTCTGAACCAGATCCAGCCACCGGCCTATTCAATCCTTACCCAGCCTACCCTTTCACCGGTTCCTTGCGACCTGTCTACCCACTTTCGGCCCGGAGAACAGTGCCCAAATCTATCCCTCACCCCGACTATGCCAAGGACGGTATTCCTCGATCAGAGCAGAAGTTCATCGGTCGGCATAACATTACTATCCTGAACAAGGAGGAGCAGGAGGGCATGAGGAAAGTTTGCCGCCTGGCCCGTGAGGTATTGGATATTGCCGCACGGGAACTGAAGCCTGGTATCACGACCGATTACCTTGATGAGGTGGTTCATAAGGCTTGTGTCGAGCGCAATGTAAGTGGTCGTCTTGATCTGAGGAGTTATTGTAAGCTTGACCGCGCCGCTTGATACTGAGTTGCGTCTAGTCCTACCCATCGCCGCTGAACTATATGCACTTCCCCAAATCTGTCTGCACGTCGATCAATGAGACCATCTGTCACGGTATTCCCGACCAGCGCCCACTTGAAGACGGCGACATCATCAACATAGATGTTACATTGTATCATAATGGCTTCCATGGTGATCTTAACGAAACCTACTATGTTGGAGACAAGGCTCGGTCAAACCCGGATGCTGTTCGAGTAGTGGAGACGTCTCGGGAGTGTTTGGACAAGTCTATTGAGTTGGTGAAACCCGGTATGCTGTTTAGAGACCCAGGAAACGTCATTGAAAAGCATGCGAAGAGCCGCAACTGCAGTGTGGTCAAGAGCTACTGTGGCCACGGTATCAACCAGCTGTTCCACTGCGCTCCTAATGTTCCCCACTACGCGAAGAACAAGGCGGTGGGAACTGCAAAGCCTGGAATGTGTTTTACAATTGAGCCCATGATCAATATTGGTACCCACAGGGACCGTACATGGCCTGATGACTGGACCAGCACCACTGCCGATGGATCTCTGTCTGCCCAATTCGAGCACACACTTCTGGTGACGGAAGATGGTGTCGAGGTACTGACTGCTCGTCTACCAGATTCTCCTGGCGGACCTATCCCTATGCCCACAGTTGGAGAGCCCAGTGAGGCGAAAACCGAGGCATGAACCGGAGATGTTAGAAAAAGACAGTAGAGTGAATGAGGCTAGCGAATACGACAATTCATATTACCAAGAAATCTATCAGGGCACGGCGCCTAGTACATATAATCACTTGGAGGCCTTTTTAGCTGCTCAACAAGTAGACATTGTAGCGATGATGGTTGTCACCAATTAAAAGGACGTAATCAATGCTACCAAGAGCGTGTTCGTCAGAAAAACGAGTCTAGCTTGAGCTTCGCAGACCTCTTATTCGTGCCCATCTCATCTCAACTTGGAGGATTTCTATCATCATAGTTAATCAGAACATTTAAACATTACCTCACACGTGACCTCACTGCCGCTCCCCACAACTTGGTATTGAACTTTATCGGCTCAAGGCTTTTGTTCTTTGGCTCCATTCAGGGCCGAGAGCCGAATTATCCAATGAGACTGTACCTTTTGAGATTAATTTGTAAGCCCAGTGG